GACTGTCCCCGTTGGACATGATGGACAAACTTGTTATGCCGGAAAAACAGTAAAAGTAATCCTCGATGCGACGAGAAAAAGATTTTTCGTACTAACCACACGTTTCGATATGACCAATGAAATAGTCAGTCCTGCGGTAGTGACGCAAACAAATTATTTCCATTCTTACACGTAATACTATCCGCAAAAAGCGTCGCGTGTAAGATGTGTATAAGTGTTCACAACCAAAACATAACAACCTGATATACAATCAGGGATTCACAATAAATTCGCCGAGGCGAGATCGCCAAATGTGAAGGGAATTGATCCTTTCGTATGTTTATTCATAAAAACGATCCTTATATGTGCTGTACACGAGTATATATAGTGTCAGAGACAATGAATGGAAATTATAGAAGAGAGAAAGAGTCAACAATCTAGGAGCGAGAATGAATTATACACTAGAAAGTGAACAATGAACGGTCAAAGGATAGAGAATGAAATATATAGAGAGAGAATGAAATACAAGAGAGAGAATACAATATAGAGTTGACAATGAACAAGAGAGGATGAGAAAGAGAATGAACAGTAAGCGCTGAAGGACTGAAGAAGATACCGGTCCTTTACAAAATACACTTGCATTCTCATGCGTAGAATATGTAATGAATCAGGGCTTAGTTAACCTGTTCTTTATTCTCACTTATAAATGCAAGACACATCACAGAAGAAAGAAAACAAACGTGCGCCAGAAACAGTATAATTTCGTAAAAACAATTACTACAGCAGAAGCAGAAAAAAGAAGAAAAAGAATATACGACTACATCTGCAACTAAAGGCATAACTTTATATTAATATTTCTTTAGTATAAAATGTAGGTAGTAATAAAATGTTTATATTTAGCAAATAAATTCAAATAGAATCATTATATAAGGTGTCCGGAAAGTTACTATATTTAGAAAAATTTTAATATCTTCCTCACTTTTCAACCAAATGGGTTGAACTTTTTCTGAAAGTAGGGGATACAGGAATGAAGACTTCTATTTATCTTTTACCTTCAGAGAAAAATTCAGCCTATTTGGTTGGAAAGTAAGGAAGATATTCAAGTTTTTCTATATCTGGTGACTTTCCGGACACATGTTTTTTCAATAAAAATGAATAAATTCTTTTATTTTAAAAATAAAAAATAAAGGATATACTTTTTTCCTATGAGAACTTATTTTTTATTCTCTCGAACCACTTACAAAAATAATCCTATCGTACAAATAGATAAGGAATTCAAAAAAGGTTTTTGCATATATGTTTTTATATGTTAAAACTAAATGACTTAGGGCTTACCATAAGTAATGACGTCAGTATCTTATTTCCTTAATAGAATGCCTAAATAAATTTTCTTTTCTCATGCGCTGATAGAAAAAAAGATGCTCTATTTTTTTGTAGCACCGTTTTACTAATATTTCAGGTGGATTAAGTTTTGCATCTTTTACATTTCAGTTTGCGACTACTTCATAGGTTATATCAAAGAACAAATTATACCAAAAAATGCAGCGTGAAAATCTTTACCATTTCTATACAACAGCTTATTTTACATTGGAGATAAGCAAAAAAAATTTCTGCTTGTAAGAAAAATATGACTTGTTTGGTGGTAGCGGGACAGGATTTTACTTTCCTTGGAAACAAAAAATACGCAATTCAAAAACGCGCTCTTATGCAGATTGTGGAGCTTTTCACATTGCATTTTTTGGTATAATTTGTTCTTTGATACAATCTGTGAAATAGTCGCAAACTGAAGTGTAAAGATGCAAACTTAGCCACTTAATCCACCTGAAATATTAATAAAACGTTGCTACAAAAAAATAGAACATCGTTTTTTCTGTCACCACATGAGAAAAGAAAACTTGTTCAGGCATTCTATTAAGGAAATAAGATACTGATGTTATTACTTTTGGTATGCCCTAAGTATTTATCGTTATTTTCTAAAGTAAGATCTTTATTTATAAATGATCAATCAGTCTTGGCTATTATGGGATCTCAACATATACTCATTAACGGAGCTGGTCCAGCAGACCTATCTTTGGCAATTGCACTCGCTAAACGCAGTATCCGATCTACTCTCTTTGAAATTTGATTGGAACCAACAACAATGGGCGGCGCAATTGCACTAGCGCCCAATGCATTACGTGTGCTCGATCAGACCATCGGCATTTATGATTAGATTCGTCATTTGGGGTTCGAGTACGAATACATAGAACTCTACCCGGAAGATGGTTGGAGGCTTGGAGGGGTGGTGAATGGTGATCGACAAACATATGGATATCCTGCTTTACGAATCTATCGATCAGCCCTTATGGAAGCGCTGCTAAAATGTGTTAACGACTATTCCACTTTGATCATCATACATTGGAGTAGTTCGATCAACAAGATTGCAGAGTCTGATACAGGTGTTGAAGTTACATTACTCGATGGAAGTACAGTGAACGGAGACATTGTCGTGGGAGCTGATGGAATTCACTCGAAAATACGAGAGTATGTCTTACGTGATCGGGCGCCCACGCCAATATACGACGGTCGATATGGTATCGGTGGCTATCTGGATCGAGGTGAAATCAACTGGAAACACTTCACACTTCCAGCGTTTCTATTTTCCCATCGGGGAGCCGTGCTTATGTTTCCCGTTACCCCAGATGGGAACAAGGTTGCATGGGCTATTCAGATTACGGTGCCCAAAAAAACTCGAGAAGGTTGGTTGGAATATTTAAATTCAGGAGCGGCACTGGAAGACGTGCGCAATCAATTTGCTGACGCAGGACAAGTAAGTCTTTTAACTGCGGACTATTTTCATTAATTTCCAATACTTCTCAGCCCGTTCAAGACATTCTTGCCAAAACAAAGGTGGAAACAATGGGCGGATGAGCATCCTACATGATTCCAGACCTTCCAACCTGATACACTAACCGCATACTATTAATTGGCGACGCAGCTCACTGTATCCCTCCTTATAGCGGTCAAGGTATCGCCCAGTCATTCGAAGACGCTGGATACCTTGCTCGACTACTAGATGACCAAACAACTCTCGTTTCGAGCTACCCAACTGCATTCGCACACTTTGAGAAGGTACGCAAGAAAAGATTTGTGCATGTACGTGAACTCACCTAACAGTCCGGCAAAATGCGACAGGCTCCAACCAAGTGGCAATGGTTTATCAAAAAGTATCTCATGTGGTTTTACTTTTACCGAAATGAAGGAGGATACCTTCGTGATGGACGCATTTATGAGTACGATATCAATAAAGAACCGCTTCTTTCGATTGATCAATCTACAACAGACTAATGTACATCTTAAATACAAACATATCAGCTAATCTTACGAGGGAACATCTTCACATGTCCAACTCCTTTTGACTCCATCTTTTGGTCATAAGTAGACCTCAATGAGGTATGAAAAACCTGAAAAGGGTTCGTGCCCTGGCGTCTTTATTCCCGAGATATCGAA